GTTAGGAACATGTTTGGGTAGCTGAACACCTTCACTATTGTCATTGCATCAATATAGTTCTCCCGTTTCCATCTGTCACCTCCAGTGAAAGAGGATGGCAGTAAAATCCGCTGACCAATGTCTGATGCATCATTGTTGTCTGTTTCGAGAGATCTTCTGATGTTTTCATATGTTTCACACCGTAGTTTTTTCTGATTTCTCTTAACAAAAAAGATACGACCAGTTTCAACTGCACTGTAACCATCAACTAAAAACTGTTGGAAACACCTCCGTGCAAACAATAGCATGCTACCATCATCATTCCTTTCCATAATACGGAAGGCAAACCACTCTCTCATACTCATCCATTTACGGGGACCCTTGTACTCTTCTTCTTCATTTTCATTTTCCCCCTCCTCATCATTATCACTTTGATCATCATCATCATCATCATCAGAATCAGTGTCTGGATCTCCAAGTTTTATATTGATTCTGAATCCGTCTTCACCATACGGAAAAATGATCGGGTACTGAAGTGCAAGGTATGAGGGTGCAGCTCGTTTATTCTCAGCAATTCTCCAGACTTATATTGAACAATAATGTCTCTTGTCTCAAATTCATTATCCTCATCTTCTGGAATTATAGCTGCTACCTCATCAACTGTTGGAATGGTGTATCTTCTTGCATCCGTTTTTCTAGCACTAATAAGCTTAAGCTTTATCTCAGTTGAAGAGTCCGCCTGAACTGTGTCACGTACCTTTCTGTAAGTCTGTGCTAGGATATTGTGTTCATCTAATGTTTCCTTTATGTCACTAACAATTTGAGCATCTAGTGTCCTCAAACTGTCTCCACTCTAACCAGAACTGTAGTTCATAAAATAAATAAAAATAAAACGATCATATAACTATATATATAAGAAACATTTGGAATTATATTTAAATGGAAAAGTATTTTTTCAAATATAGTAAGAGTTGTACCTTAGAGCACCTATTCTGTCATTGACTTCATTCTGAGTGTCATAAATATACAACTGAGAGAACTATGGAATTGAATCACCTTCTGGGAGAAGGCTACCCATTAAATGACTGTTGTATCCCTGCATTTTGAATACGAATGGAGCACGGCCATTGTTTATGGTGCTGACAATTTTACCACCCATGGAGGTGAATGCAAACATATTATTGTAGGCTCGTATGTTCTCTAAAAAGTGTCTACTTTTGCTGTTATTAGACATAAACAACTCTTTTAATTTTGAAGGTGCTTCCTTCAGTAAGGGTAGATGGATTTTGCCTTTTCTGCAACATATTGAAAATGTAGGGATTGCTGGTCTCCTTCTTTTTTCAGTCCTCTCAGCATACCACATGTTAGCCCCACAGAATTTACATACATAATCTGGATCACCCAGATCATCATAAGCTGCATGAATATTATTTGTTTAAAAAACTCTTTTACTGCGTTTAATAATATACACAAACTATTATGTAAGTATAAAATACCTGCGTTGATTATATTAACCTCATTTTGTTTGACTTTGTACTTGCCAGAATGCAACACATTTTTCTTCAAATTCATTCCAGATTGTTGGCGCTTGCATTTCAAACCTGTAAGATTGGTCTCTAATGTTGCTATGTAAGGAGACAACAGTATATGAATGTTACAAATTCATAGGTATGTCCTACGTGTCATTTTCTGATTATCTTTTCATATTTTAAAGTTGAACAATAATTGTAGTTTTTAATCTGTGGACAACTTTGAATTGTTGCTGATACTGATGTTTATATATTTTCAACACAACACTAATAATAACTGATATAAAATGGATAATGACTGATAATAATAAAGCACCTACCGTTAGAAATGTTCCTTTGCAGTGCTGAATTATTATGAGTTTTTAAAATTGAATTATCTGTATTAGATATGTTGAAACCACCCATTTGAGTGGTAGGCTTTGTTTGAACAATCTTCCCTCTTTTTTATTCCAACAATTCCTTCCTTTTCATTCTGGGATTCTTAGAAATAGATCTCCCAAATGAGGTTAAATCTGTACAAATAAACAAAATATATACATATGCGATTAAAATGCCACTAAAACTTATTAACACTGAACCCAAATTACGTACCTCTTGAAATTACACAATCATTTGAAACTGATTGTTGGTTCAAATTTTCCATGAAAAACGGATAATGATTGTGGTGTGTAGGGATGCCGGAATGTCCACCTTTAACAACTTTGCCTCTTTTATTGTTTAAAAGTTGACGTCTGAACCACTTACACTCCTTTGGAGTAATATTTTGCCTTTTATTGCGTAAAATCTGTTTGAGGCAACCATCTATAACAAATCTGTAAATCATCTTTCTCCTTTGATCGTTTATGATTTGTGTTCGCTTCTTTCTGGCTGCTTTTGCTTGAATCTTCTTTCTTTTCGCCTGTAAAATTTGTGATCGGTTTTTTCTGACAGTCTTTGGTGACATCTTGACCATAGTTGAATTGTTAAACTTCTGTGAATATATCAATGTACATTTAGATGTTCTTGAACTTATATCATATGGTATTTATCTTATGTTTTTAAGTATTGATCCTGTTTCAGCTTTTACATCTTCAAGGAGTCTCATTTAAATGATTGTGCATCTTTATCATTGATTAGATAATTTTGATTGTGATATTGTAATTGTGATCTGATTTTTATCATAATCTTAATTTTAAGGAAACGATTTCTATCAAATAGTTATAAAACTCTAAAAGTATTTAACTTACATAGAGTCTTAACTTATAACATATATACTTACAAACCAGTTTAAGTCATAGTAAAACATTCAGGAACAAAATATCGTTACTGGCCAAGAGAATAAAATAATTTCATAAAGCAATCACATATATAATAAGCAAAAGTTATTCAATTCCCACCAGGCATTTAAAAAAACTTAAAATATTCTGAAACAATTCAAACAACCATGATCAAGCTAGATCTAGGGAATTGCTGAAATAGAAAAAGTTAAATCATTCTTCCTGGGCTGTACACTTTCGACATCCAGCATAAATTTAAGATGACTTCCTTTTGGGACCTGATTATCAAGCATCGGTACGTTCCAATTCCCGATAAACTTCAACTGAGACACCTTTTTACTATAATGCAGTGGATTGTATGATTTATAGAACTCCATATTATACATCATTGCATTAGTGTATATGACAGCCAAGTTTTTGGTAAGGATACTCCTATGTCGTCTCAAGAATTTGCAGGGAACCGTCTGTAAAAAAAAAATTGGAAAAAAAATAAGTAAAGTAAATATGATTAAGGTGACAGAAAGTAAAAGATATAATATATTACAATGGCTTTATGCTGGCAGTGGTTATCTCCTATGGGGATCTCGAAGCAGTCATCTTCTGTATCAGTAATAGTAGGCTTTTGTTCAAATCTTTCTTTACTAAAAGATGCATAATTAATCGCATTTTTTCAGTATATGTGAAAACAGCAAATTCAGAATGTTGTACCATGTCGGCATGGTCTTTTAAAAGCTTATCCCATTGATACCCACTTACAACCAATCTGGCTGCATTCTCATGAGGAGAATATGCTATTTGAATGATATATGTACGCTCCCCACAAACAATCGACCAGTTTGAAAAAATAACCAAAGTTGTCTGCATGGTCTTCTATGATACAACTAATTAATCCAACTGGTACGACCTGTATGACCAATTTGAACAACACATAAACAACATTTTTACCTTTTCATATCAGTCAAATTTCAAAAAAATTATAAACAACATACCATTTGAACCTTGATGTTGTTGATGTGATCCATGACATATTTGGTGTTGGACTGTTGCTGAGAACATTATTTTTATCAAACACAAAAACATCCATAATCCCTAATTCCCTCACAATAAAGTAGAGTCCCTGATTCAGAACTAAATGGTGAGCCTTCACAAATTCATACCAATTGTTTCCACCAATCCTCATGTGTGTCCAATCTTTATTGACCAATCCAATGACTTTGTACTTGTATTATTACTGATCAATAAAATCTCTTTTGATCTATCTTCATCTTGAATAAGCAAAGTTGAAGGCAAAGTAATTTCCTACATCATTTGTTCATTAATGATAACCACCACAATAGTTTATTACATCTATAGTATAAGGAATACAAACTGATGCAAAAAAAAATTATTCTCAGAAATTATAAATTACATGGAAGTAGGCAAACCCTAGTTCTACCCTCGCAAAACACTTGTTTGACATTGTTCCTTCTTGTCTGTCAATCTTTCTTCAGAAACGTAAGTTGAGTACCTGAAGGAATTTGTAAAGGGTGGCTTATGGTATTTTCAACAGTGAATTTCAAGCCAGTTATATTTGTACTTGAAAATATAAATATGGTTAACCCTAATTTACAGGGATAACAATAAATTATAACGTATTTATGCCTATTCCATTGATAAAATTATCTGTTGTATTCACACTATAAAGATTAACACAATTTTTTTCATTTAAAAATGTTTGCATGGAATTTATACAATTTCAAACTCTGATGGTGAGTTATATTAAGTTAAACCTTATCAGTGATTACATATTTTCAGGTTTAATTATTTTTGCCTCACAGTCTATATATTTGATTGAGTTTTCAAAATTTTAAAATGCGGATTATTAAAATTTTAAAATACGGATTAAGTGTTTATTGCTTTCATGAAACTTAACAAATACTCTTTGTTTTCAAATTTTAAGACTTAGGGAATGAACTTAATATTTAACATTCTCCAAAATCAAATTTAAAAACACACTGTAACTATCTAAGACTCTGAAGTGCTTAACAATCAAGACCAATCCTTGTATTGCATAAGGCAAAAATTGCTTGAGAAAAAAAAAAGCATCAAAACTGAAGTGCTGATAAACGAAAAATGTTAAAATCCATCAAAAGAAATTTCTGTCTGGGGATTACAACTTCATACATATGATGAAGTGTAGTTTTTATTTGCAAATTTAAATTCAAACGTAAATAAGATCATGACGATGGAGTTTTCTTCAGATTTTCTTGACACTCTTGTTCTGGTGGGATTTGACACTCTCAAGATCCTGAGTAGATTTAGTCTTCTTTGGTGGAGGGTTATCAGCAGTATCTTCCAGACGAGTTCCAGCATCAGCATTCTGGATATTAACATCCCCAGTACATGATACAGCAATCTGCAAAAAAAGACATGTAAGTAAATGTATGTTTCAGTTATCTGGAATATATTTTGTAATATGTAGTCCATAACGTATGTTTCATTTTGACGAATCACCTTTGCAGTACTGTCATCTGTTTTGAGCCCAAATTCAATAACGGTTTCTGCATCTATTTCCTGCATTATTACATCAGAAAAAGAGTATATGTCATATGTGAGACATTCTACAATTTGCTTATTTTTTATTTTGCTGGTAAATAAAATTAATGTCAACAAAAGTGAATATTTAATGGTAATTACCAGATCTTCAGATACAGCTTCTAGGTACTGTTTTATAATCACAGCATCAGTAGTAACCCTAGCAACTGACATTTCACTGTCCATGTTCCTTATATTAAAATGTGAAACATCAAGCTTGAACAAACACTTTTTTCCTTTAAGCTCATCTAGCTTATCTGGATAATAGACTCCTGGTTCCTGTAGTTGTGGTATTTTCAATCAGAACCTATTCATAATGATTATTAACCCCGCAAGTAAAAATGTAGACTGATACCTCTTTAAGGAGTTCAGATGCAGTCTTGTTAATTAAATTGTAAACTTGTCTGTCCCATAAGGTTACTATACCACTGCCTGATCCATCAACAACAATTGCCTGTATCTTGAACCTGTCCATGGATTAACCAAATTAATATTAGACAGTGATTAAGTGTAAAATAATTTCTGAAATAGACAGGCACATAAATGATCATTTCTGTGTGATGATAATTATCTTACTTTTGAGCAACAGCAGAAACAATACCATGTTTGCTGCATAGGAACTTCTTGATACCTTCACCATTGTTTTCACTGGTAACCTTTTTCCCCTTGCCACGTTGTCCATTTTTAGGCATTCCTACAAACCTGGTATCAGTGTCTTTCCTAATTTCTGTCTTCTTCTTGTTGCAGTCTCTACATCCTAAGTAGCACCACTCAAACTCCTTCACCAATCCAGTAATTTTAGCAAAAGTAACCACATAGCAAGGCTGTTTGAATTCAGATCAACTTAATAGTTAGATTTTTACGACATACACATAACATTTTGAAGATAACATTCAGAATATGTCATTACCTCCTCTAACTCCTTAATCTCAGAGATGATTAACATTGATTCATCCTTCACAAAGTCTTCATAACTATCGTATCCAGATATGTTAGAAAGTATAGAAATCCGCTGGACACTTGCATCCTTATCCTCAATATCCTCCAATCTGTGAAATACGAATAATACATGAATATGAACAAATAGGTAAAATATGTTGCAACAAAAGATAGTATAAAGACACATTTATTTAATAGAACCTCATTTTGTAGTCTGAAATTGCAGGCATAGACATGTCATTTAGGAAGATTCTGCCATTGTACATATTAGTGGTGACTGAAGCCCTTGCTGTTAAGATTTAAAACACAAAAAATTAATACAGTTGGCAACAGGGGATTTAAATAAATAAAAACTTTAATTTTGATGCAAATGAAATGACTCAGAATTCCACTTCTTGCACTTCACATATTGCATAATAAGCACTACCAGCATTACTGGATGATCAGCCATCATTGTTGATATGGCATCAGCATCTCCATTCCACAGGGTGATCTTCAACCTGTCAGCCTTGTGTAAAAATTCATGATATAAAAAAGCTTAATGACATACTGTTTGGATATGTATAGTGATCATATTTTAAAAATAGATCTAAGAATGTACCTTTCATCCTCCAACTCCACAGATATCCTCTTCTTCTCCCCATCAATGATCGGCTCACTAACACCAATAACATGTCCAATAACATCTGGAAGAAACTATGGTATTAGAAGATTCACAGGTTTAATTATATCAAAACAGAAATTGTAATAATATAAGGATGGAAAATATATACCAAAATAGAAATCAAAATTCTCAATGAAATTTGAAATCTCAGCAAAAGGAGTGAATTCAAACACATGGTTAGGAATATCCAAATCAACAACAGCATCCACAATATCCACAATGGTGTTAGGTTCAAACACGATTTTGTATTCGTGTTTTGAACAATGGTAACCACTAACAATGTTCAAAGCATGATCAAAACAGGATATTTGCCGAACACAGTCTTCTTCGAAGTAGTTGATAAAAGTGTCCATAAAGCTTTTAGGGATGGTAGCCTGAATCTTTCCACCCTATATTCCAAAAAGAGATTAGTATACAGTGATCTAAATGGTTTCTATACACTTCATAGTAGTTTAACACTTAAAAGATCGAAATATATAATACCTGAGCATCAATGAATATGAGTTCAAGCGACTTGATTTCTTTCTCATCTGCCTTCATGTACATCTTCCAGATTGAAATGACACGAACTACCATTCTAAAGTGTGGATTTTTGGTGCTTATCAAGCCGTTAATGTCTGCAATATACCTCTGAGCAGCAACCATTGAAAGGTGATGAAGAGCAAGAGAGGTACCAAAGTCTGAAAGGGGTGATTCAGCGTTATTTGATGGTGGTTCACTGGTGGCTATACCTCATGCCATATAAAACATATTTATACAGGTATTTGATAGCCTTGATAAGCATGGTTGTTTGATAATCAATGGCAAGAAAATCTGTTTTATTTTTCAAAATATGATGATCGGATATGCATTCAGAATACGTGGATATATATGCATAATTTTGGGTGAAATTTGATTTCTGATTTTGAGTATAAATGCTGATTGATTTCTGCTCTGAGTTTTACTGATGCTTATGATGAAAAATGAATCTGGACCCCAACATAGCTTGAATTGTTAATGCTTGGTGATGGTAACTGTAAAATTTTATCTTCTTTTGTAGGGCTTTGAATCAGGGAGAGATAATTCGGACGCGTGAATCATTGAAGAGAACAATTAGAATCAGATCCTCATTATAATTGTATTTTTTTAAAAAAATTTAAACTACTGTAATAGTTTAAATGATGGGAAATCCTTAAACTGAGGAGTGTTAAAAGGGAACATTTATTTCTTGGACTGTATATCCCTTAGATTGGGGAGGGTTTAACGTGATCATGGTCTTTTTACCAGATTGGGGACTGTATTTTACTGGATTAATTTACATGTTTACATATTTTGTAATAATTTTTTATATCTGGTTTAAGGGATGCCACGTGGCCTATATATATATATATATATATTTTTGCAAAACATTGAGTTTTTTGGTTTAGGTGGGAAAAAAAACTCTGTGAAACTGACACATATCCTAAGTGTTTATTGCTTTCATGGAGTGTAAAGGGATGACGTTATAACTCTAACGGTCTATAAAGTCTAAATTATCCTTAACATTTTTTATTTTTTTCCAATAAATTATTTAGAACGTTGGTCTAAGTTTCACAGCTCAATATAAATGTGTCAAAGAACCATTGGACTTCAGGGAGGGTATTAAGGTGTAATCTGTTTCACATCGCCACCGTGAAGAAAAGTAACTCAGACTTATATTTTATAACACCCGATGAATAAATTTAATAGGGGGTGAAAATTCCAAAAAATAAAAAGGAAAAAGGAACGTGGAAATTCCAAAAAATAAAAAGGAAAAAAGGAACGCAAAATTCGATCAGTGCTAGCACTGTAAAATAGAAATTGAAAAAATTCAATAAAAAAATTTTGTTTTTCTTTTTAGGTTTACTCAATAAATTAATTTTGGAAATTACTAAACTACTCACTTCGTCCCAAATAAAATAGTCTATATTGAGTTTTGAGATTTGTATTATTTGTAGTACAAATTTCAAAACTCAATACAAACTAATACAAATTTCAAAACTTAGTATGAATTATTCCCTCCGTCCCAAAACTATTGTCCAGTTTGAAATTTTACTTTTAGTTTGACTAGTACTAAAAATAAAAGTGCAATCTGGACAAAAATTTCGGGATTATTTTGAGAGATACTTATGCTGGCCGATTTTGTCCTTTCGTTAAAGTTGGTGGTGGTAATTGTTAAGGTTATATTCCTACGGGGCAGACTTTAACAAATTTCTCCCTCCAAAAAATTTATTCTTTTTGTCTTTTTTTTCTTCACTTATGTCAGTATGTGGAGTGAGGCCGATAATCCGTTACTGTTTCACTGGCAGGCAGTCTACTGGCGATGACTATGGAACTCCGCCGCCAGTTCATCCACCTCCTCCGTCGCCAGAACCACCACCACTTCCGCCGCTTCTCCACCAAATACAGCGGACGCGTGGTGGTTCAGACCGATAACGGCCGTTCCTTCGCCGTTGAAGTTGACAACCCTATTCCCCAAAACGACGTCAGAGGCTATCCACTCCCCCGCCGCGACCTTATTTGCAAGGTCGTTCGCATGCTCCAACCGCAGTCGTCCACGGCATCCCACTCCGACCTATTCGCCGACATCGCCGAATACCTCGAAGCACTAGACTTAACGATTACTCCTTCCGAAGCCTCCGAAATTTTAAAATCCCTAAAATCCACAAACCTAGCCCTCAAATTCTTCCAATTTTGCGGCTCCGGCATTCCTAAATTTCGGCACAATGCTTTCACTTACAACCGCATCCTCCTAATTCTTTCGAAATCATACCTTCCCGACCGCCTTGACCTCGTACGGAAGATTATGGACGAAATGGATCGTTCAGGAGTTCGGGGCAACATCTCCACAGTTAATCTATTAATAGGGACTTTCATTGGTGGGGAAGAGGATGATGCTGGAGCTGTTGAGCTGGAAAGATGTTTGGGATTGGTCAAAAAATGGGAATTGAGATTGAATTGCTATACCTATAAATGTCTTCTTCAAGCTTACTTGAGATTGAATGATTCGGAGAAAGCTTTACAACTATACAGAGAAATGAGGAAGCATGGGTATAAGTTGGACATCTTTGCCTATAACATGCTTCTTGATGCCCTTGCCAAAGATGAAAAGGTTGGATTCTGCAATCCTTTCTATGTTTTTTTTTTTTTTTAAATTTTTTAAAAAAGACCTTTTTGATTTGTAGAGTTTTACTTGTTGGAACATATTAGCCTTTAAATGGCACGGTTAAACTTATAGCGGCATGCTAATTGGGACTGTATGTTGTTAAATCACCAAGTTTAGCATCAATAGCGCTACAATTAATGTTGTGGTACAACTGTGTTTGTTTGGTGTGCTGAATTCAGTTTGCGAACATAATGGGAGGTAGACATCTAAGTTGTAAGTTTTGCTGTGCTTTTCGGAGCATGAATTAATTTGCTGTAACTAGCACTGGTTTGGTTATCACGGAAAGCATAACCAGAACCTACACTCATTGATAATGAATCATCGAGGGTGAAAAACTTGTACTTTTTCTTGCTCTGTGAAAATGTTGTTGATAATGAGATATGTCAATTTATAATACCCCTGCATTTCCCCCATAGGAAGAGTATGACTCCTGATTTCGTACTAGTCTGATAATTAGCTTATTGGCAGGTTGATCAGGCTTATAAGCTCTTTCAAGACATGAAACAGAAGCATTGTGAACCTGATGAATATACCTACACAATTTTGATGAAAATGACTGGGAAATTAGGAAAGCCAAATGAATCACTTGCCTTCTTCGAGGAAATGCTTTCAAAGGGACATTTGCCAAATTTAATTGCTTACAATACCATTCTTGAAGCTCTGGCTAGGAGCCAAATAGTTGACAAGATTCTTTTTATATTTTCTAAGATGGTAGAAGGCAATTGCCGGCCCAATGAGTACACATATCGTGTCATTCTAAATTCTTTGGCTGCAAAGGGTCAACTTGGTAGACTCGATGAGGTGTTGGAAATATCAAGTAAGTACATGAACAGGTCTATTTATGCTTATTTGGTGAGAACTTTAAGTAATCTTGGCCATGCTAGTGAAGCTCACAGGCTGTTTTGTAACATGTGGAACTTCCATGATAAGGGAGATAAGGGTGCTTATTTGTCTATGTTACAGAGCTTGTGCCGTGCGGGCAAGATGGTAGAGGCAATAGACTTGCTAGATAGGATGCATGAGAAGGGTATAAGTAGAGAAACCTTCATGTATAACATTGTCCTCTCTGCTTTGCAAAAATCAAAACAGATTACACACATCAGTGATCTTTTTGGCAAAATGAGACAAGATGGTCCTTCACCAGATATATTCACTTACAACATTTTGATCTCTAGCTTTGGTCGAGCTGGAAAAGTTGATGAAGCTGTCAAAATATTTGAAGATCTTGAGGAGAGCAACTGCAAACCTGATATTATATCCTATAACTCATTGATCAATTGTCTTGGCAAAAATGGAAATGTCGATGAAGCGCACATCCGATTGAGAGAAATGCAAGAGTCTGGTTTGAATCCTGATGTAGTCACGTACAGCACCATCATAGAATGTTTTGCTAAGACAGATAAAATTGACATGGCTTGTCAGTTGTTTGAAGAGATGATTGCAGAAGGCTGTTCTCCAAATATTGTGACATACAATATCCTACTTGAGAGTCTTGAACGCTGTGGTAGAACTGCAGAAGCTGTGGATTTGTATTCCAAACTTAAAAAACAAGGTCTGACACCAGATTCAATAACTTATTCTATCATCGAGCAGTTACAAAGTGGTTCTCATAAGCCTGTTAGAGTACGGAGGAAAAATCCAATTACTGGCTGGGTTGTGAGTCCATTAAGGTGATTTTTGCAAAAATGTAAAGTGTGGAGCATTGCTTGAAGATATTGCTGGTTCACTTTTAAGAGGCTGTCTTCCCTGCTAGGAGGTGGATGGTTTAGTTGGAAACTGAGCAAGATTGTATGAAACTCAAATATCTTATGCTGGTATGTGATGTTTTGTGTTCCCCGTACACATTATCTCCTTTCCTTTTATATATTCACCTTGGGTATATCTTGTTGCTGCTGGGCAACGTTGATGCCACAACTCTATCCTTAGAGTCTTAAAATCCTGTTCTTATTGACTTTCCCTTTACTGAAACTTTTGGGTGTTAATTGGGACAAGGGACTTGTATCGTTCAGGAGTCAGGGGAAGAATAGCATATTTGTTTCTTCTGTATCTTTCTTTTCTTTGTTTGACCATTCTCTAATTTTCATGGAGATCTAATTAATGAGTATTGAGGAGAGGGGGTTTTGGTCACTTGAGCTTTATTACCAGTACTTAGTACACCTTAAATTGGACATGTGGTGCCTGTAACAGATAGGACGAGCAGGACTTTCAACTATTGTTTTTTCTAGTAAGGAACTTCCAAATGAATGGTGATGCCTACTGGAAAGTCGGGATTGGTTGATTGTTTTTGCTATCATATGTCCAATTTGTTCGTTGAGTGTGTCAAACTAGGAAGAATTAGATAATGTGACCAATTTCTTTGTTTTTGTTTAAACGAAATTTCATGGTGCTTTATGGAATATGTTGTTCTCTTTACCCGTTGAATTTGCTCATCCTGTGAGAATTGAGTAATATGGTGTTTTATGGAAAATTAGGTTCTCTTTACCTGTTAAATTTGCTTATCCTTGTTGAGGTTAGAGTTGATACAATTTCTGCATAATTTTGCAGGTCCTATTGGCTGAGGCGAAAATGAATACTTGGCTACAAACAAAAGGTATGAGCATTATTTTTTTTTTTTTTCCTAAAGGAAGATCATTTCTGGGAATAAGGGCAAGAGAAGAAAGCTGATAGCTCGAGGAATAGTGGCTGGATGCAGCATTGAAGGAAGAATGCACATTTGAAAAAGCCATGGTTTGCTGAATATTTTCCCAACATTGATTGGAAAAGAGTAGGGAGCAAATTTATCGTCTGATCTGCAGTTTTGCAACTTACAGAAGAGTAAAACAACCCAATTTACATTATAAAAAAGGTAATTTGTCATTTTGAACTTTCTTGGTTGGTAAATGTATTATTTTTTTTTATTCTGTTTTTGTGCGTTGGACTTGTTCCTCGTTACCTGCTGATATTGTGGGTTATTTATTTTTGGTAACAAAGAGTAAAAATTCAGAGGGAAGCAACATTGCTAGCTCTTTATTCAAAGGAATCAGGAACAGAAGATGAAAACAATTTTGGAGCAATTGAAAAATGTATTATGTTATGTAAGAGATCTAGAAAGAAATTAAAGAACTAGGTTAGCCTTTCTTCAGATCACACAACTTACTTTTATGTAATTTTAACTATCCTTTCTTAAAGTAACTTTAGTGGACATCTGCACTTTACTAATGGATGGAATACTTACTGTGATATGATTATGGTGTAAACATTTAGAGCTATCAGATATCTTGCTTGATAATTGGCGTGATTGTTATGAGACTTTGATTAGCTGTCTTTATATGAATTTGGATAAACCTTTGAGATTGCTTTCTCAGAGGTTTTTCTCGATTGGAAATGATTTATGGACATATTGGTTATATGCTGGTAGTAGCATGGTCTACGGATGGATTTTAGTCCCCACTTGAAGAGTATCATTTCTAGAATGCATGTCGGCTGTAATACTCAAAAGAAATGCGTATGATAAATGATACTTGGAAGAGACAAATTCACGTCATGAAAAACCATAACAGTGAATCCATTCTGTCAATATTATTCTACGAAGGAAAAGTCAGAAATAGAAAGACAGATGCTTGTTTTCAGTAATATTCATCCTAGCCCTTTATGCAAGTGGGCTCATTAATGTTGGTTTCTTCAAGTTTTATACTTTCTTTGCAGGTGAAGCAGTGATGAGCACATATCAGGCTCTTAGTAGTGCTGTTGCTGCAGCAATGGAAGAGATCGAATTGCAAATTCGTGAGGTTTTGAAAATTCATCTTTGGACGAGCCATGAATTTATGAAGAAAAGCTCATCCCCTGCATGTCGCACTTCGCAGCAGAGCCATGCAGTTTGCACCTTCCTTTAGTCTACAGCAGTACACAATTCCGCCATCCTGTAGTCTACAACATTGCACAATTTCCTGGCATTTTCTTCTCATCTTGGTAAACGTGAAATTTTTTAGTTGTGTCGATAACCACAAAATAACCTGTGGTCACAGATCATATTTAACAAATGAGCTTATCTTCAATTACAGCTGCCGCTTTGAATGTATATTTCACACTTTGTTCTTCCCCAACCTTGATTATCCAAGTCATATATACATTGGTACTGGATGTTTGTATTCAATTAATATTTCTGATGAGAGCCGTGATTTGTGATTCATATATGCATATCTTGTCAGCCTCCAGGCCAACCAGTTATTATGAGTGCTTATGTTCTTCTGAAACATGTTTTGATTTCTGATTTTGTCTGTCTTTGGAGCTAGCCTAGACTTGGATGATATCTGATAGCTCTAAATTGATTGACCTCTATTTAAGATCTGGTTGTTTATTTCTGTGTGTTGCACTTGAGAGGATTCTTGAAGATCAAGGTACTTGTAGCAGTTGGGAGTCTTATGTAGAGATTGTTGATAATGCTTCATTGTCACATAAAAGCATCAAATGTTCATCAAGCTCTCATATGTAGCATTGTGATTCTCACAATTTCCTTTCGTATTTGTTTAACCGTTAATCTTTTATGATGTTCTTATATGATAATGTGTATCACTAAGAAACAAGAAATTGTCTTCTAAATTAGACTTCATCTGAAGCAGGGTCTTGGTTTTTTTGCCATGTCAACACCACCTATACTTTCTAAGATTTTTGGAAAAGTGACTCCTATCAGCCTGAATGCATTGGTGACAGTCAGCATGCACTCTATTATGCTCCATTAACACCGATAGCTGTTGAGCCTCCTGCAGAAAAAGCAACCTGAAGATACATTAGATGATGACATGACAAGCTGGTTGGTGCAGTCACCCATTTGGAACAAGGACAAATCGTACTTGGAATGTTTGAAAATAGCCATTCACAAAAAATCCTTGGCCATGCTATCAATCAAAATTTTACCATGGATTCAAAATGTTTGCATGTTTCTTGGAATGCAGCTGCGTGAACCAGGCTGCAATTTTACTGCCAGATCAGTTCATCAAACAGCAGAATAAAAGATGGAAGGTATGCACAGTTGTCGTAACTTGAAGCTTCAAAAGCAATGATGAGGTCGATTACCATGTCCATTGCTCTCTTGTGGAGCAGGCAAAAACAAGTTAACCACAAATAATGGTGTAAATTCTCTGAGGCATACTATGTACTGGGACTGCTACCACAGTGGAATCACATCAACTTGATGTGGTTAAAAGCCATTCTGCTGGAAGAAACCCCTTTACGGTGAATGTTCTGGTCAATTTATCCTCCATGGTGGGAGGGCCAAAGTGATATCTGTTTTGAGTCCCACCTTGAACAAGTACATGATCATCAAAGGAAGTATTTGGACAACTTTGAAATACTTGGGCAGTATTCTTGGATCGTATCTGCAATGGAAACCAAGTGATAAGAGTGGAAAACCAGGTTGGTTCAGTAGTAAATTGGTGTCACATATCAGTTTGACACCCATTCAATTGATGAAAATTGTTGTCATTTCTTGCAATTTTGTTGAACTATATACGTAAATTGATGACGAAGTATAATTTGGGAGAGTGATGATGATTCAGAAATGAATCTGTGTGCTGTATTGTCCAGTAGTAGATTTGCGAGGTAGAATGGTCGTGAATTTTATGCGAGGACATGGCAACATGCGACATTTGATACAAGTTTAGGGTGCATATAATAAATAAATAAATACTCCCTCAGTGTTACGAAAATAGTCCGGTTTCAAAATGTACAACTTTTTTAATTTAGTTAAACCAGCAAAGTACAATTCATTATTTCCATGTAAACTTCCAATTTTACCCCCAAATCCCAATTGAAAATTAATTAGAAAATCTAACCTCATTTATTTCATTAGTTTCTCTCTCTCAATCGCCGGCAAGAGGACAGCCGGAGACTACGCCGATCATCACAATCGATCACGGAAATCCACCACCAATGAGTGCTTTTTCTTTTCGGTCATTAACATAGCTAAATCGTGCCAAATCGGTGTCGGATTGGCGTCCCCATCAAACTGAGTTATTGAAGGTCGACGGTGACGGTGAAGCGGGAGTCTACAAAACCGTGAATTGAAGATGGAAGATATCAAATCTAGTCCTCATCGTGTGAATCGGAATCGGAATTTGGACGAGATTACATGCAAAAAGATGAAAATTGAAGAGAAGAAGAGGATGAGATTTCGCCGTGATGGGGAAGATCGGGATTCGGGAGAAAGCGGTGAAGGAAGCGCCGCCAGTAGTGGGTAGGATCGGGATTCAGGAGAAAGCGGTGAAAGAGGCGGCGCCGGTGATGAAGGAGATCGGGATTCGGGAGAAATCGGCGAAGGAGGCGGCGCCGGTGATGGAGGAGGTGGGAATTTGGAGAAAGCGGTGAAGGGAGAAATCAGAATGGGTGAAAATACGGTGGAGTCAAATTTGGTGTGATAAATGGATTAGATTGACCAGTGTAATAATCTTCAATTGTAGGGATGTTATGGTCATTTTCTCTATTTTAATTTTGACTTTTTTGAAATTGAATTATTTTTTAGGACAAAATTTTTTACTAATTGGACTATTTTTATGGTACAAAAGGAGTAAAAGAAAGTTGGGGCACAAGTCACAAGATACCCAAACTTTACACGTAAATAATATACTAGTCCGTCTAGCCGTCTTCGCAAATTCCCGTCCATCGTCTTGTAGCTTTAATGGCGGATTCGGGCAAAGCTACTTCAACGGTTTCTACACCGTTCGAAGCTAGCGCAGTATCTCCTGTCAACGATATAATCTCCATCGGCAGCTTGTCAATCGCTTCCTTCTTTGTGGCGGTAATTTCATGGCTTCCAATCGAACAAGATGCCGGCGGGAATCGAGTTCCGACGATCATATTCGATGGCCATCCTTACGTCTTCCAAGCTTTTGTCATACTGATTATGTTTGGGTTTTCTACATCTCTCGCCGCCGTGGTGTCTTATAAGGGGCGGAAATTAGCTAGGGTTTTGAGATCTTGTTCGGTTGTTTGCTTATCTTGTGCTGCCGCGGTTCTTCTATCCGCTATCTGTAAGGATCTGTCTTCCGGGAATTAGCGCCATCTTTTCCGGGCAGCGAGGAATGATAAATCTCTCGGATTGAGAAGCGGAAAATTGATCTGGTATCCAAATCGAGGTTTGAGCTCGTCCGGAACTTTCATCGATCGCAGCTCCTTGTAAATATTTCTCGTTGAATAGGGGGCTGATCAATAACTGATATGGGAAGAATTATTGGACTGTTCTATGCATCAATATCTTCTTGTTTGCTTTTGGGCTTGAATGCCAAGTACAGTTGCCCCGGGGGATGGGCGTTCGTTTAGTTGAATTTTGATATATGAAGTTAGCTTATCGTTTAAAATTTGTATTTAGATATTTTGATTTGTGTGGAACTCGAAACAATTTTTATGTTTGCTCATTGTGTAATGGCTTCAATTGTTTGGACTTTGATCTTGATGTTGATATATGGAGCTTTGTAGGCGGATTGCCATTGCTTAAATACACTCTTCTGATTAGACAAACTTTTTGAGTTAGTGTTTTTGAATCACTCTTCCTGTTCATGTTAAGGGGTGAACTGAACGTTTTCTGTTCTAAAAAGTTTCCGTGCTATCCGGACCAACTGAAGAAAGAAACCACTATAGATCAGTCTTCTTTGGTAGCAAGATTTGTAAATGCAAATTTCACACATTCAGTTGGTTAAGAAACCAGTACAATACAGAAAATGCCCATGTTCAACCCCTTTGTAAAGAAAACTTGCCCTCCACGGGCATTACATCCGAATTACAATTCACAGCATCAATGTTTCATGGTTCAAGAGCGCTCTAGAAACTAGATCATGCGGCTCAATCACTGATAAAAGAACATACAGACCAAATATTCTTACACAATGGCCAAGGCCACAGATATCCACAAACTTCCATATTAATTTAGGACACCTTTCGCCGTGTCTTATAATTCAGCCTTTGCCACTACCACAGCACTGATAAGGCACGAGATCACAGTGGCTAGAGCATTCAGATGCCATTTAGTGTCTTTCAGGGCAGTGGCTCCCAGAGCAAAGCTAACAGCAAATGCTGCACCCACAGCACCAATTTTCGTCATAACTTTTGCTATACCGCGATTTTTAGAAGCAAAGATCGCTAAGAAACTGCCAAAAAATCCAATACAAGTAGCTCCAGCGCAAAATCGTAGGAACATAGAATCAGTAGAACTAGACGTCATCATGCTGAGAATAGCCTGACCAGTGATTCCACAAATGACAACATTAACATCAAGCAGAGAGCTGGTTGGGCGAGCCCCGACTGTATTGGTTTGAGCTAAACCATAAACGCCGTGATTTTCTGACCCATGTGAAGCTTCTGCAGCCGGAAAACTATCATTGTAATTTTGGGTCTCCAAACTTGCATGCTGCGCATTAGGTTGTACAGGATTCCCATGAATTTGTACACCAGATGCCGCATCCAGAGCACTGGATGCTACTTGTATATTTGGAGTAGGAGGCACATCCTCCACCACTGTCGAAGTATGGGCCTGTCCATCCTGGACATATAAATGTTCTCCACCGGATGAACTTGCAATTGTGGAATCATTTGCATAAGACCTCACTTCTTCCACAAGCCCATCAGGTATATCAATTGCCACATATCCTGACTGGTAAAACTCTGGGCCAGCGTGTGGAGATGCAAATGTTGGTGAACGATGAACTGGTATGGCACCACCAGTTTGGAGTAACCTCATACTTCCTGACGAGCATGCAGCTTCAGAATTTTGAGCATTAACCTGATTCATGCGCACAATGCCTGATGAGCTTGGAGCTTCAGGATTTCGAGCATTACCCCGAATAAAGGTCACATTTCCTGATGAGCTAGCAACTTGTGCATTTTGAGTATGAACTTGACCAAAGTGAAGCGAGCCAAACTGCATGGATCTTCCTGAGCCTTCCCTTGCAATGATTTCATGTAGTTCTTCATTCTGGGAGCTGCCAAATTAAAATTATTTTTTACTCCATCAGTGATCCACTTGTTTTTGCGAAGGGAATGAAATGACTACAGAAATAATGGCATGAAGAAAATGGAAACTTCAATGATCCAGATATTAAGTGTTGTATATGACTCGATCTCAAGTTCAAATACTTTGAACAAATGCCAAACTTGGCCATTTATGTCCAAGAACAAATAAATATTTAACATCACCCTTGGCACTTGCCATACATGGGCTTCAGATATTTAGGCCAAGGAACAAATGCATGTTTCACATCATCCAAAGCACTCCTTATGAATTCCATCCAACATGGAGGGTCATTCTTTCAAAACATTTCTAGACAATCATGTCATTGTTTCCATATTTCAACTATCTGCAACAAATATAACCTAAAACAAGAGTTTCACCATCATCAAATCCAACTTCTACCCAAGAGTTAACACCTGAAGATAACAGTGTAGGAAAATAAGGTCTTTTAGTAGAGATTATGAGCATTCACTTACTTCTTAAGCGCCTCCTTATTAGAGTTAATGCTCGCACTTCGTGATGAGCTTGCAACTTGAGAATTTTGAGATTCAACTTGATCAATGTTCAGTGAGCCAAACTGGATGAAACCTCCTGAGCCTCTTCTTGCGATTATTTCAAGTAGTTCTTCATTCAGAGAGCTGCCAAATGAAAAATGTTGTTACCCTCACTGATTTACTTGTTTTGGTGAAGGGGACAAAATAACAACGGAAATAATGCCATGAATAAACAGAAACTCCAACTTCAATATCCTTAAATACTTATATGACTCAATCTTAAGTTTTGTTCCAATCGCAAATGCCTACACTTAGGACATTTAATGTCCAAGAACAAATAAACATTTGACATCATTCATGGCACTTGACGAGCTTCGGATAATACGTCAAGGAACAAAGGCATATTTTGCATCATCCAAAGCACTCGTCAAAAATTCCATCCAACATGGAGGTTCACTCTTTCACTTCTAGACATTCATATCACTGTTTCCATACATCAACTATGAGCAGAATCTATAAGCCAACATATCCAAAGTTAAAACCAAGAAGTTAAAAGCAAAAGAAAACAGTACCAAAATGGAAGGTCTTTTATTAGCGATTATGAGCATTCACTTACTTCTCAAGCGCTTCATTATTAAAGTCTATGCTCACACTGCCTGATGAGCCTACTACTTGAGAAATTTGAACATTATCTTCATCAATGTGAAGCGATCCAAACTGGATGGAACTTCCCAAGCCTTCCCTTGCGATTCTTTCATGCAGTTCTTCATTCTCAGATGCAAGAGCTCTCTTGACAACAAGCAGACCATTGGTTGCATGGGAACCAGCATTTGACTTTATCTGAGACGAACCATCGCTGCCATGATTTTCAGAAACATTGGAGGCTTCTGCAGCTGACGCTCTGTCATCATTATTTTGGTTCTCCAACCTTGGACCTAGCCTATTTGTCAGTTCTGGAATTGCCTGTGTTCGTACATCAGATGCTGCATCTACCCTGCTGGATGCTTCTTGTCTATTTGGAGTTGGAGGCACATCCTCCACCATTGTAGAAGCTTGGTCCAGACCATCACGGGCATATAAATGTCTGCTGCCTGATGAACTTGTTATTACAGAATTGTTTGCATAAGACCTCTCTCCATGCACAACCCAGTCTGTTATATCAACTGTCACATATCCTGAACTGTAAAAACCTGGGCCAGTCAGGGGAGATGCAGCTATAGGTGAACTGCGAAATGGTACATCACCATCTGTTTGGAGTGATCCCAAACTACCTGACGAGCTTGCAAGTCCAGAACTTCGGGCATTAACCTGATCAATGCTCACTTTGCCTGAAATTGCAGCTTCAGAATTTTGAGCATTAACCTGATCAAAGCTCGCACTGCCTGACGAGCTTGCAAATTCAGAATTTCGAGCATAAGCCCGATCGAACCAGACACTGTCTGATGAACTTGCAACTTCAGAATATCGAGCATCAACTTGATCAAAGTGAAGTGAGCCAAACTGGATGGATCTTCCTGAGACTTCCCTAAAAAATATTTCAGGCAGTTCTTCATTCTGAGAGCTGCCAAATTAAAAATATTTTTACTGCAGAAGTACTTGTTCTAGCAAACAGGGTGAAATGCATACAGAAATAATGATATGAATAAAAATGGAAACTTCATTGTCCAGAAGTGTTGAGACTCAATGTTAACTCTAGATCAAATAATTGGAGCAAATGCCAAACTCTGGACATTTATGTCCAAGAACAAATCAATATTTGACATCATCCATAAGCACCTACATGAACTTGGAGAATTTATTTCAAAGGATCGAATAAAAATTTAACATCACAGAAAGCACTGCCATGAGTTATGACAAGGAGGGTCACTCTTTGGAAACCTTTTCATTGCGTTTCATATATGAGCAAGAAATCTTATACTTCCTCTTTTCCGAAATAATTCGTACTATAAATGAAATCTAAATCAAACAATCAATTTGGAACTCAGGGAGTATAATACAAAAGTATCACCACCAACAACTTGTACTAAAATAATTAACATCAAAAGAAAACAATATAGAACGGAAAGGTCTTTTAATTGAGTTGCGGTCTATAGAATAAGCAGCGATTATGAGCATTCACTTACTTCTCAAGCGCCACCTTATCAGAGTTAAGGAAAGCTCTAAAGTTCCGAGCTGACCTTTCAGCTTTAGCTGCCAACTTCCTACTCCAACGCCCACGGGCACGTTGCTCCTTAAGCTAAGATCACAAAAAGATTTGATATTTTGTGAATTAAATATGACCAATATTTTGATCATACATAAATATATATATATATATATATATATATATATATATAATGCATCACAGCTTACCCTCTGGATCTCCCTTCGCACCTTGTCCTCAGGATCCTACAGTCAAATACAAATCCTTAAATTAAATTACGCCGATACATCAAGGATGTACTCCCTCAGGATTGTCTAGTTTGAATTTTGACTTGTAGTACAATTCGAACTGAAAGTAAAATCCAAACTGGACAACGGCTTCGGGACGGAGGAATAATAATTTACCGAGGACGAAAATGGAAGAACTTAAACTCACTAACCAGCAACTGCATCCGCATAAATGAATCACGAAATCTGCTAGAGGAATTCAAGACAAGGTTAAAGATACGCTCAGCTGGTCTCAAAGGCCGCCAAACGCCGGAATCGGTAAATATAACCGAATCCAAACGATCAAAGTTACCGCAGGTGTCAGAGATCGCCATTAAAAGTTTGGTTGCCTTCGAGGTGGAACTACAGAGGGTTTCGAGGTTTGAGCTAGGCAGCCGGTCAATCCGCGTCTTAAGGTTTCATCTAGTTATCAAATTAGTCCAAAACTATGACAACTTGTCAAATTCATCCCAGTTAATCCATCAAATTAGTTTTTTTTTTGGGCGAAAAAATATGGGTTAATATAAAAAAACACCTACATTTTTTAAAAAAAAACCTATCAAAAACATCAATTGTTAAGAAGGAATCAGGGGAGGAATAGCATTATTTTTTTTTTTTTTGGTTTTGCTTTTTGGCCGTTATCTTATTTTCATGGAGATGTAATTAATGGGTATTGAGGAGAGGGGGTTTTGGTCACTTGAGCTTTATTACCAGTATTTGGTACACCTTAAATTGGACATGTGGCGCCAGTAACAGATAGGAAGTGCAGGGACTTCAGCTATTGTTTTTTCTAGTAAGGATCTTCCAGATAAATGGTGATGCCTACTGGAAAGTTGGGATAGGTTGATTTTTAAATTTTGCTATGGTACATCCAATTTGTTGGTTGAGTGTGTTAAACTAGGAAGCTAATTTAGATAATCTGACCAATTTCTTTGTTTTCGTTAAAACGAAATTATGTGGTGCGTTATGGAAAATTATGCTCTCTTTACCTGTTGATTTGCCCATCCTGTGAGGATTTGTATAATATGGTGTTTTTTGGAAAATTAGGTTCTCTTTACCTTTTCAATTTGCTTATCCTTGTTGAGGTTAGAGTTGACACAATTTCTGCATAATTTTGCAGCTCCTAGAAATTGGCCGAGGCCAAAATGTATACTTTGCTACAAACAAAAAGTATGAGCAATATCATAGTTTTTCTAAAAAGGGAGATCATTTCTGAGAATAAGGACAAGAGACGAAAGCTGATAGCTCGAGGAATAGTGGTTGGATGCAGCATTGAAGGAAGAACGCAAATTTGAGAATGGCATGTTTTGCTGAATATCTTTTTCTATAAGTTGGTAGATAAGGAGTATGGAGCAAATTTTTACTCTGATATGCAGTGCTGCAACCTGCGAAAGAGTAAAACAACCCAATTTACATTATAAAAAAGAGGTAATTTATCTTTTTGTGCTTTTGACTCGTTCCTTGTTACCTGCTGATATTCTGGGGTTACTTATGTTTGGTAGAAAAGGGCAAACATTCAGAGGTAAACAACATTGCTAGTTTTTTATTCAAAGGAATCAAGAACAGAAGATGAAAACATTTTTGAGCAATTGAAGCATGTTTATGTGAGAGATCTAGAAAGAAATAGAAAAATTAGGTTAGTCTCTTTTAAGATCAAGCATCTTATTTTTATGTATGTATAACTATCCTTTGTTAAAGTAAAGTTGGTGGACATTTGCACTTTACTAATGGATAGAACAGTTACTGTGATATGAGTATGGCGTAGATATGGAGAGTTATCATATAGCCTGCTTGATTATCGTAAATATGAGACATTGATTAGCTGACTTCAGATGAATTTGGAATAACCTTTGAGATTGCTTTCTCGGAGGCTTTTCTCGATTGGAAATGATTCACAAACATATTGGTTATGTGCTGGTAGTAGCAGGGTCTATGGATGGACTTTCTCAGAGGTTTTTCTCGATTGGAAATGATTCACGGACATATATATATATATATATATATATATATATATATATATTTTCATATTTGCAGGGTGTTCACCATCGGTAACAGTAACTAATCCCCTCGCTGAATTGTAGTTGGAAATGATTCACGGACATATATATATATATATATATATTTTTTTTTTTTTTCATATTTGCAGAGTGTTCACCATCGGTAACAGTAACTAATCCCCTCGCTGAATTGTAGGCACCTTGATGGGTGGGACAGTTGGCCAAAGTATTTTAAGGTCGCTCCATGCCCATAACAAGATTTGAACCCTCGACCTATGGTTAAGAGTAGAGGAGTCCCTTCTAGTCCACCACAACCACTTTGGTTGATTCACGGACATATTCGTTAGATGGTAATAGCATGGTCTATGGATGGATTTAGTCTCCACTTGAAGAGTATGATTTTCTACAATACATGTCTGGCAGTAATACTCAAACGCACGTATGATAAATTATACTTGGAAGAGACAAATTCAAGTCATGAAAAACCATTACAGTGAATCCATTCTGCCAAATTCAGTAGTATTATTCTACAAAGGAGAATCAGAAATTGAAAGACAGATGATGCTTGCTTTCAGTAATATTCATCCTAGCACTTTACGCAATTCATGTTGGTTTCTTCAAGTTTTATACTTTCTATGCAGTTGAAGCATTGGTGAGCACATATAAGGCTGTTAGTTGTGCTGTTGTTGCAGCAATGGAAAAGATTGAATTCCAAGCGCTTGAGGTTTTGAAAATTCATCTTTGGACTACCCATGTATTAATGAAGAAAAGCTCATCCCGTTGCATGTCGCACTTCGCAGAAGAGCAATGCAGTTCGCACCGTCCTTTAGTCTACAACAGTACACAATTTCGCCATCCTTTAGTCTACAATATTACACAATTTCCTGGCTTTTTCTTCGCGTCATGGTACAGGTGAAATTTTTGAGTTGTGTCGATAACCACAAAATACCCTGTGGGCACTGATCTTATTTAACAAATGAGCTTATCATCAAATACAGCTGCCGCTTTGAATGTATATTTCACACGATGTTCTTCTCCAACCTTAATTATCCAAGTCATATATACATTGGTACTGGATGTTTGTACTCGATTAATTTTTCTGATGAGAGCCGTGATTTGTGATTCATATATGCATATCTTCTCAGACTCCAGGCCAACCAGCTTTTATGATTGCTTATGTTTTTCTGAAACATGTTTTGATTTCTGATTTTGTCTGTCTTTGGAGCTAGCCTAGACTTGGATGATATCTGATAGCTCTAAATTGATTGACCTCTATTTAAGATATGGTTGTTTATTTCCGTGAGTTGCACTTGAGAGGGTTCTTGAAGATCAACATACTTGTAGCAGTTGGGAGTCTTATGTAGAGATTGTTGATAATGCTTCATTGTCGCATAAAAGCATCAAATGTTCATCAAGCTCTCATATGTAGCATTGTATATGTTAAACCTTTAATCTTTTATGATGCTCTTATATGATAACGTGTATCACTGGAAATAAGAAATTGTCTTTTAAATTAGACTCATCTGAAGCAGAGTCTTGGTATTCATGCAATGTCAACACCACCTACACTTTCTAAGATTTTTGGAAAAGTGACTCCTATCAGCCTGAATGCATTGGTGACAGTCAGCATGCACTCTATTATGCTCAGCCTCCTGCAACAAGAGCAACCTGAAGATGTGTTAGATGACAAAATGGATCAATAAAGCTGGTGGGTGCAGTCACCTGTTTTGCACTCGTTGGTTTCCTTCCTGTATAAGCCATGGTCACTTCAATTTGGAATAAAACCGTATCTATTCTGGTGGCAATACTAACATTCTTGGTAGTTCTTCTACACACACCTTTGTTAGACCTCAAGGTAGCCCATCTGATAGTGGTGATCAGGGCCTTTGTGGCTTTAGCACCTCACCCATAGCCAGCTCATTCGAGCTTTATGGAATGGCTGAAAGTACAATGCTTCGGACTCGTGGCCTCAGGTTTGGGATCTTCAGACTTCTTTCATTGTATTTATCTGTTGTGTCTGCATCTTTTTGAATCTCAACGAGGCCAATTGGATTATGATTTTGAAAAGAAGGAAAGAAAAATTTTCCCTTGTTCCGAACAAAAGAAATCTCGAATAAAGTTTGAGTGGTTCTCTATCTCTTCTTTAGCTGAGAGAGATTATTTGAATTTATCCCCAGTTAGCTACAAGAGAAAGTTCTCATTCATATTCCTTCTCATCTACTTGTATATATCTAACTATTGAGTCAGAAGATTACATGTATATACACATTGAATATACACATGAAGATTACATGTAAATAATTGTAGACTCACGTAATCTTGGAGCCACAAAAATCATTGGCCATGTTATCAATTAAAATTTTACCAAGGATTCAGAATGTTTTGCATGTTTCTTGGAATGAAGCAGCGTGAACTAGGATGCCATCTTACTGCCAGATCAGTCCAAACAGCGGAATAAAAGATGGAAGGTTTGCACAGTTGCGTAACTTGAATCTTCAAAAAAGTAATGATGAGCTTCATTACCATGTCCATTGCTTTCTGGTGGAGCAGGCAAAACACGTGATGGTGTAAATTCTCTTAGGCATACTATGTAGTGGGACTGCTACCACAGTGGAATTGCATCAACTTTGTGTGGTTAAAAGCCACAGTTTATTGTAAAATTCTGATGGAATAAACCCCATTACGGTGCGACGGAGGGCCAGAATGATATCTGTTTTGAGTCCCACATTGAGCAAGTACATGATCATCAAGGGAAATAATGGGACAAGTTCAAAATACATGAGCACTATCATTGGAGTGTGTATCTGGTATGAAAACCAAGTGATAAATAGTAGAAAACCAAGCTGGTTCAAGGACCATAGACCAGGGTAGGCTTGATAAACTAGATCAATTGTTTCTGTTGGACTATGTGCCGTAAACCTGGTGTTCTATATTGTTTGCAGAGGTGTTGTGGCTTCTGTAGCAATACAGACGTCGAAGATGGAAAACACCGCAGGCTTATGCTTCCGAGGAATTTGAAGCTGAATGCAGGGGAAGCTGTTGCCGTGTTAGTTATACTCCGAAACTGATATGTGTATACACCCATTCAATTGATGAAAATTGTTGTCATTTCTTGCAATTTTGTTGAACTATATACGTAAATTGATGACAAAGTATAATTTGGGAGAGTATGATGATTCACCATGTTTGTCAGAAATGAATCTGTGTGCTGTATTGTCAAGTAGTAGGTAGCACTTGAGAGCCACTGCATTTTCAACTGAGTGAATTGCCACATACAAACACCGACAAGAACAGACTCATTTCCCAGTATTTTCTTATTGATCTCTCCAGTTCTCGCC